ACAAAAAGGATTATATTAGCTGGTCGCCAGGAGGAATTTGAAGATTACGTCATAAATGTCTCTTCAGCACTATGTGAGCTGCAGATGGAAAGTGCTTAGCACTTCTAAAGTATCACTATGTGGGTGTATGTGCACATGCATGTCTAAAAGACTGCAAAAGTCTCGTTTGCTTTTATCCATCTATTAAATAAAAGCCTGAAACAGTTCCCATTGGGATCAATGGTAATCTGTTCACTGATTTAGTGGGAACTGAAATCAAAGCCTATTATCCTTTAAAAAGTAGTTGTTGTAATCTTTACCCCATATCTTTTTAACTGATGGAGATTGACTCATAAAAAACAAATACGTAGTGTGAAGCTATGTAAAATGATGACTTTCTCAAAAATTATTCCGAGTTTGTACTGGCAATCACAATAATCAGTTCTTAGCACTTTATTAATTATTCAAAATGGTGTCAATAAAATATGTGTTGTAGAATAGATAAGATGCAGAAATGCTGAGGACCTCATTGTTTTCCTTCACATCAGCTACCAGATTAATGCCCGAACAGAACTGGCAGTACGCTACAATGACATCTCCCCACTGGAGAACCATCACTGTGCAGTGGCTTTCCAGATCATTGCCCAGCCAGAGTGCAATATTTTATCCAGTGTTGACCAAGAACAATTTAAGCGGATACGACAGGTATGAGTGCTGGTCCAAAAGGCCGTGACATGCAAGTTGTTCTTTGAAATGTGTGCACAAATCTGTCTATTGTAGAGCCCTGTCATTCCATCTAGATGCGTAAATTGAAAAGCTTGACTTAACAATGAAAGATTCCTGGACAGTTTCCATAGCAGCTTTAGCTTGTTGGGTAACAGTGAGAACAGTTGGAATATTAAAAATATGACTCTTATATAGAAAGTTATGAAAGAAATTGAGTTGGCTTGTGATCATAAACAGATTAAGTTGATATATGTTAATAGCTTACCCTTGTTCTTTAAGAAGAATATTGTATTGTAGTTAAAAAGGCACTTCCAGCTAGAGATTTCTAACCTCTGGAACCCATCTCTTTCTTTTGGCTAATGCAGTGATGAATCTTGTCACATTGCAATCATTAACATGACAGCACGTTACAATGCAATTCACACACAAATGGGTCAAATTCTGCTTTTTCAGCTTCACCAGTACAGCTCCTTTGCCTGTTAAATGAAAATTCTGAAAAATAAAATGGGGGTACATTTTGGTTCTGTTACAGTCAATAGCAAAACCTGTATTATATTCTATGGGACCAGGTTTGGAACCCATGATACAGAACTATACTTCTAATTTAGTTCTTTGATCAAGGGTATTTAGGTAATAAGCACAGAACAGGAAATGATAGAGACGTGAGGCTGGAAGGGGCCTCCTTAGGTCATCTAGTCCAACTCCCTGCCTGAGGCAGGATCATCCCTATCCAAACCATTAAATACAAATCCATAATCTAAACTCTTCATAAAACTACTGTCAGCCCTGACACAACACAAAACATAACACCCTAACTTACCACAGGTAAAGCAGGGGGACCACAGCAGCCAAAGCCCTTCTTCTATAAAAGGTAAGTAATATACGCTCAAGAGATCCCAGATAAAAGTCTATGCCCCTCACTACAGAGGAAGGTCAACCCCCCCCACACACACACTGCACCCCCC